GCCGCTCTCCCCCACACACCCCTTCTTAACCGCTCTGGGCTGGCTCTTGGGAGCTGCCCAAGGCTGTTTTGCTGAGCTTCTGCCATAAGGAGCCTGGTGAACGGGAAGTGGCCCCATCCATCCTGGGCCTCAGTGAAGAGCAGATGACAGGTCTCACGGCTCACAGCTTTTGGAAAAGTACTGCTGACAACCGGGAGTTAATCAGGCAGTGACCCCACACCTGGGAGGCAGGGACGAGGAGGGAGCGCGTGATGAGAGGGACTCTGGCAGTGAAGCTGTCTTCAGCCCTCCCTCCAGTCACAGCCATGGTCACTGCGAGAGGAAATGAGGAGGAGAGGCGGCCAGGGACAGGCAGACGCTGTCCACAAAGCGGGCACCGGGGACAGGAGATGCAAGCTGTGTAATTAAAGCCTGCAGACACCTGTTGCGAGCTCGCCCGTTCACACCCCTAGCAGGTGGTACACACCTCTGAGGAAGAAACCAACCAAAAAGAAAAGAAGAGAGGCTCAGATGAAAAGCTCTTCCTCTGTAGCCTGCTTGCAGCCTGGGGACGGTTACAGGGGTGGGGGGTGGGGAGTACCGTGGAGTGAGAGAGACCTGGGCCAACGCCTTAGCCTCTCTCTGCCCCCACTCCCCGTCTTATCAGGACACGGTGGATCTACGACTCAGCAAACCTTTCCTGAGCACCCGCTCTGTGTCAGGGCCCTGCGGACACAGCAACAGATGAGACGGACTGTCCGGGACTGCAGTCTGGGGGTGGGGTACAGTCAACAAGCACATGGACAGCGCTCCAAGGGCAGCTGTGAGCAGGGCTAGGTGGACAGTAAAGGGGGGGCTCGCAGGAGAACAGGACAGGCCAAGCTACCCTGGCTGGGGGTTGGGAGTGAGCCAGTGGAGGGGTGAGCTCAGGGCCTCACTTTAGACAGCAACAATTCCGAGCTCCTGAAGTCACTGACCACGCAGAGGAAGCACAGCATTAACAGCTGGGCACCGTGCTAGGTATCTTTATCACCTTGTTTGGCAGGTTATTGTCCCCATTCTACAGATGAGGAAAATTGAGGCTCAGAGAGGGAAAGTGCCACAGCCGAGGAAAAAGGGGAACTGTCTGGAACCCATGCAGTCTACTGCCAGAACTGACCCTCCCCCACCTCCCACCTTGTCCAGACTTACGGTGTCCTCAGAGGGCAAGTCTGTCTGAAACCTGTTCCCCAGCAATGACCCACAGCGGTCACTAGTGAAGATAACGATGACAACACACAGGCTTCTGTGAAACGCCTCCCCTCCTAGCAGTCGGTATGTCCATCCTCTCACTGAGCCTGGGGGGGGGCGGAGACAGGCGGGCATCGTGTCCAGTCCCATCCTGCAGCTGAGGAAACTGAGGCTGGCCAACTCCCAAACTACACTCTGGCTCCGAGCCTCCTGGTCTTCCTGTGGCTCTGCAGCAGGACTGACTACATAATTTGCAGGGCCCGGTAGAAAATGAAAACTTAGGGCCCTGTGTTCAGAAGTCAAGTCTTTTTAAGATGGAGACAGCAGAGCATCAAACCAAGTGTGGGGCCTTGTGTGACGACACAGGTCACGTTGATAGAACCTCCTTCCTGGAAGATTGCTCCCTTCTAGAAACCCTGGTTTGAGCCGCCTGGTTTCTGGAGAGGATGGCAGGGCAGGAGGGCCAGGAGGCAGGGGTGTGCTTAGGGACAGGAGAAACAAAGGAAGTGCTACCAAGGACTTTCATTTGGCAATGCTGTTAGAGACACAGGCTCTGTGCGATCAGACCTGCCCCGGCGTCAGAGCCTGGCGTCCCCGGTTCTGTGCGGCCTGACACGCATTGCCATCGCTAACGTTTATTAACTACCGGCTCTGTCCCAGGCACAGCACTGTGTGGTTCACGTGCATAAGCGCATTTAATCCTTTCAACAGCCCTGGAAGCGGCCACATGGGGAGGGGAGCTGGGTGCCAGCCCGAGCCGTCTGATGACCCCGTGGGACTTGGGCTCCGGAGTTGGTCTGTTTGCTGGGAAACGGAGACGATGAGAACTGCCCCACAGGGCTGTTTCGATAAATGGACATCTAATAATGAAAACCACTTCAGCCCACAGTGCTTGGCACAGATAGTGGCCTCGAAAACTATGCTCAATGATAATTATAAACAGTATAATTTATTACTATATCATCATAAGTCACAACACACGATATCATTAGCATTTTCTGCCAGGGGAGACTGAGGCCCAGAAAGGGGATGGCAGAGAGAGGAGAACCGCTGTCTCTTAATCCACCACTGTGTCCGCTTTCTGACTTTTCTAAAGGGTGAGCCTCGAATTGTCCCAGACATGTGCTGCGGGTAAGGCCCAGGCTAACGCTGCCGCCCTGGCTCACACGAAGGCCCCCCAGGGCGGTCTGGAGAACCTGACCACACTCTCCCACAGCCCTGCACACACGCCTACACACCCCTGGGTGTGTCACTGCCTGCCTGACACTGTCGCTTTCCTCCCCGGTCCTCCACAGAGTGAGCGCCTCAAGCGAGGGGCCTGTGTCTCTCCTGCAACGGCTGCATGCTCGGCGCCTAGCACAGTGCCTGGTTCCGACGACACTCATGGGAACCACGAAAATGATCTGGGAAATGACGGTGACGTCTAGACCTGGGAGCAGGAGAGGAGTGGTTCCAAACCAGGGCTCGGGGTCAGGCACTGAACTCCACCCCCTGGCTCGGCTGGTGGTCCACGCAGGACGCGCCATGTCCTCAGAGCTCCAGTTTCCCTCTTCGCATCCCTCCACCCGCTCTTCGCAGGGCTGCTGTGTGGCTTTAAAGGAGGTACTGCACACAGCAAGCACTCTGTAACGAGGAGCTGTGATTTTGATAATATCCCGTAGGACAGGTCTGCAAAACCTGCCTGGCAAAATGGACCAGACCCTGAACTCTCCCCATGGCTCTGACCTTGGCTGGCCACTGGCTTTGTCTGAAATCGGGTCTGTGGCTTCCTGGACAAGCTTGTCTCCCTGAGAAGGTGCACAGCGACCCCTGCTGGCCGCCACTCAGAACTGCCTCGGTCCCCGCCAGCCCGAGCGCGCGCACAACAAAGCAAGGTGAGCCCTCCCAGGAGCCTTTCCGTCTCCAGGGGTTGATGAAAACTCGCAGCAGAACAATGGCAGGGGGACGAGACGCCGCTCGTAATTATGCTCGGTGGACACTGATTCCCTGTCTTCTCGAAATAAATTTAAACGCGAGATCAAACCAGGCGCTTCTCCCTTTTCCGTCGCCGCGGTCTTTTGTTCCCTGGATAAGTGTCATCCCTAAATAGACTGCGGAACCAAGTGAAACTGTCATTCCGGCGGGATGCTATTTCCTGATCAACACGTGTGGTTCGCAGCAATCCCGTTTTGATCTGGCAGTTCTTAAATTGGGCTCTTTCTAAGGAGAAGCATGTTATAATAAAACAAGCAGGCGCAAAGAGGCTGGACCTCACTCACCTGGTACACCTTTCGACTGATCTCCCTGGCTGCAGGGAGACAGAAAACATCTCCCCAGCGTGTGGCCCCCACCTCACCGGGCCGTCCCCATGCAGGGGACCCGAGTTCACAGCTAAGGCCCTGCTACTCAGGACCCGGTGGGCGTGCATCTTTGCATCGACCCCGCTAAACACATCTGCTGAGGAACTGTACACCAGTGCATGATTTAGCATGGACGCGGGAAGGAAAAGCGGTGTTTGAGGCAAATCCTCCAAAGGGCTCCCCATTCTTTAAACCACCAAGAAAGAGAGCGAAGAGGTAATTTCACACAAAGGTACTTCTCTCTCGTCTCCAAAATATAGGACTTATTTTTTGCATCCACAGTTGACCTTGCAAGATGCTAATTGGCAATTCTATTGTAATAGGGACTTAGCTCTCCCGGAATTCCTGCTAGAACTCGACAAACAGGTTAAAGGAACGAGGCCTAGTACGTAGAGTCCTTCAAGTTCACCCACGTAGGTTCCCAGAGCACACTTAGATCGCAGCCAAGCCTGGACGCGCTGCTTGGTTGGGGCTCGTTTCATCGGCTGTTACATTCTGAGGGCTAGATGATCTGTCTCTGCACCACCCAACACACGCCTGGGGAGGGCCTTGGCTTTAAACATTTCCCCCGATGCCCTCTTACAAAGACACTGCAACCAGGGCTCGGCGCTGGGTGCCACATGACTGAATCTGATAAAGCGAACAGTGTGATGTACCACGCAAACTCGTGGCCCTGGGGCTGTCTTTGGTCCACAGGGCTTGATTTTAGAAAGCAAATTAGTTGACAACTTTTCCCCCTAATAATTCGGATTGCCAGTTTCTTTTTCAAAACAAGGGAAGAACGGGTCTGATTGAATCCGTACTCCTGCATGGCGTCACTGCGTCAGTCCCCACCCAGTCTGCTCTTTCTGGTCCCTTTGCTGCCTGGCCCGAGAGATCTCTCAGTTTTTGGCCTGATGCTAGCAGCTGCTGGATTGCATTATTTATGTGGGTGATTCATCCTTAGTTTGAAAGGGGTGCTCCACAGAGAGCCATGTAGACCAGTGGTCCCCAGCCCTGGCTGGACGTTAGAATCCCCTGGGGAGCTCTGATCACAATACCAATGTCTGGGCCCCACCACCTCTAACCAAGGGCATCCAACTGTCTGGGGTGGGGCCTGAGCAAACGTATGTGTAAGTCACCAGGTGGTTTGAATGTGCCGCCAAGGTGGACTACTGGCTTAAACCAAAGGCGTGACTTGGCGGGACAGCTGACAAGGATGGAGAAGGCTGACTGCCCTTTCTTGTCTCGCCTCTGGACAAGGAGGCCTGGCTGTTTTGACTTTTTCCTGCACAGCGCTCTGGAGAGCAGTGCCTGAGGCTAAGGGAGATAAACCAAACGCAGCCACAAGAGGACCTTTGAAGGACCAGCGCACAGGCCTTTCAGAGCCGCCGAGGACCCGCAGGCCACCTTCCCCAGGGCTCCGCAGGCTCTCCACCCACACGACGTCCCGGACCAGACGGCGCCTCTCACCTGAAGAGCTCGCGGATCTCCCGGCTGTCAGCCTGGAAGGGGATGTTTCGCACCAGGATCTTGGAGGTTGTCTGCTTTCTGGGAACTTGTTTCTTCCGAGCGGAGGTCAGGGCTGGCCTAGTGGATGGGGAGAGGGCTCAGGTCACTCGGGGTGTTGGCCACTGCTGCCTTACACTGACTCCACCGCCCCCCACCCCAGTGCTCATCTTCTGTTCAGATGAGGGACTCAAGGAGTTAGTGGGTGAGGCTGAGATGAAAGGGGAGGAAGACAGCCTCCCCTAGGGGATAAGGACCACAGCTATCCTCTCAAAACGGCTGTGGATGTCCGCTCAGCACCCCCCATCCTTGCGTGTCTCCTGCCCTTCACCTGAGAGACTCAGGGACTAGCAGGGACTTTAAGAAAAGAACCCCAATTAGGGTGTTTCTCACCAAATCCAGTCTCCTCTGTCTCTTTCCAGAAGCAGAAAGACCCTGGATGGTCCAAAGGTCTTGTTCGAGAGCTTTCATCACTCACCCGAGGAGCATCACGCAATTTCTAACCATGGAGATGGGCCAGGGGGTGAGAGAGCAAACTTGCTCAGGCTGAGGGCCAAGGCCATCCCGAATGCAGGCCTACCTTCTCTGTCCCTCTGGTCCCCCCGGGAAATCTTCCACTCCTCCATGCAGAGGAGGGGCATGTGCACGGCTGTGAGTCAGCCTGGGGCGTGAATACCAAGGCAGCCACTTAGGATCCGTGTGATCCGGGCAGGTTCCTCGGCCTCTTTGGGCCTCAGTTTCCTCAACTGTGGAATGGGCCCAATAACAGTGCCAACCTCCTCATATTGTTTGAGGATTTAATGAGAGAGGCCACGTCAAACACGGTGCACGCCATGCGATAAACACTCAGGGAGTGGCGGCTATTGTTATCATGAGTATCGTTACGACTCCCTGCCTGTAAGTCTGCGCCACGCCGCCCCCTCAGAGGCCTTTCCTAATAACCTCCACTAAAATAGTAAGCCCCCGCTTTTTATTCCTGGCCCTTGTCACAGTCTCACAGCCTATGACACATTCAATCATGTTTCTCTTCACCATCTGTCCTCTAGGGCTGTGCCGTCCAGGACAGTAGCTACTAGCCACACGTTAAATCTAAATGAAAATGAAACAAATTCAAAATTCAGTTCCTCAGCTGCTGGGGTAGCCAGCCTCCAAGGTAGTCCCCAGGGCTCCCCACCTGTTAGCATTCACGCCCTTGTGCAGTGTGTGGGGCACGCTCTGCCAGGACAGGTCTGCGTGACCAGCAGAAGACAACAGAGGCAAAGCTGTGTGACTTCTAGGATCCTGGGATCAGTCATGAAAGACAATGCTGTTTTCTCCTGGATCACTAGGGGAAATGGGCTGCCACGCTGTAAGGACACATCATCCCAGGAAGACCCCACGTGGTGAGGTCCCGAGGCCTCCTGCCAACGGCCACGTGAGTGCGCCATCTTGGAAGCGGGTCCACCAACCCCAGCTGAGCCTTCAGATGAGACGGCAGCCCCGGCCGACATCCTAAGTGCAGCCTTGTGAAAGACTCTGAGATGGAACTATGCAGCTAAGCTGCTCTGAACTCCTGACCCACCGAAACTGTGAGATAATAAATGTTTGCTGTCTTACGATGTTACGTGTGGGGAAACTTTGTTATGTAGCAGATGAGCTCAAATGCCACGTGTGGCAAGTGGCTACCATACTGGACGGCACAGCTATAGAACATTATAGAACCTTTCCATCACTGCAGAAGGATCTATCGAATACGTTGCCCTGGAATGTAAACACCCTCCCCGGCACCTGGGGAGAGTGTCTGGTGCGCTATAATTTATCTAATTTTTTGTTGAATAAACGAATGACTACACAAGCACTGGCTAGGAACTGAGAGCTTGCATGGTGACTTCGGCCTGACCCCCTAGAGACAAGAGGACTAAAAAGGTCGCCACAGCTGGCTGAGTGCTCGTGTGCCTGGCATGTGCTAGACGATTAATGTACAACCTCCAGCCATCACCTCTCCCTTTCTAGGCACAGTCACCTGCCCAAGGTCACAGTTTCTGCATTAGAACCCAAAGCTGTGGGGCTCAGAGCCTGGACTCCCACTCTTACACCACAGCTCAGGAACCCCCATTAGGCCTCTAAAGGTTCCTGTACTGGGCCACCTTGTTGCTAAGGATGCTCAGCGTGGCTCAGACTGCGATAGATAAACCATACCAGAGTGGGCCCAGGCTGGATTCTCAAGTAGCGTTAAAAACCAGAGAAAGAAGGCCAGCCGAGTGGCTCAGTTGGTTAAGAGATCGCTCAAGAGCGTGAGCTCTGAGCAACTGCGGTTCGATTCCTGGCCCGAGCTGAGCTGCCGCTGAGTTGCCAACAGGTGGCAGAATGGCTTAGCTAATAAAAATTAAAAAAAAAAAAACCAGAGAAGGAAGCAAAACCAGCAGCTCATTTGCTCAATGACCACCACAAATGACCAAGTTGCTGAAAACTACCAAAAAAATATCTTAAAAACGAGCCCTAGGATTGTTCGAGGCAGTCATTTCATCACCTGAGGCAGGTAGATGATAATGACAATGACAATAATAATAAGGGCTTATACTGGGCATGCGTGTTCTGTGCCGGGCAATCACTGTTCGAAGCACCTCAAGTGTGTTAGTTCATCTAGATCTACAAACAGGTGAAGATGTTGGGGCAAAACTAAAATTCTAAGTAAATAAATAAATAAAGCCCACTGCTTCAGAAAACTGGTCATTTGGGCACATCGGTCTGCTGCCATCTCTAACACCTACCAAACCTCTTTTAAATGAACAGGAGGCTGTCTCTGGGCACTGTGGTCCGGCTCCTAGAAAGCCAGCCCCATCAAGTGAAGCATCTAGGTTTTACAGCTTCTGGTTTGACCAAAGCGCCAGCAAGTCGCACCTCTCCCTTGGTTTATTCTCATGGCCAAGGTGAGTGGGATTTGCTTGTTCCTCCTGTCCGCGCTCCTTTCATTATAATATACGTGCATTAAACATTTACTCAAAGTACTGGCCCAGTCCCAGGTCACCAGGGAAATGCTGTCAGAGTTGGCAAGTGTGATGCCACCTTAACTAGGAAGAGGGGTTAGGGTGGAGATGACGCTCAAGGGCCGAGGGATGCCCCCAGGGTGCCAGCACCGGAGCAGAAGGAACCCACTTGGATTAAAGGAGAGGGGGCAGTGAAGACTCACTTGGTGGCACGTTCCGAGATCCTCACCTCCAGCTTGTGGTTGTCCACGACGTGACCCTGAGAGAGAAGACAACATGGCTCGGCTCTCTGTCCTCTTAGCAACACCCGCCTGTACCCCTGCCCTTCATCGGAGCGGGCTCCAGCCGAGGGGAAAGGCAACTTCGAAGGGGGGCTGACTGTTCCTGGGCAGAGGGCTTTGCGGGAGTTGAGGGCAGAGAACGGCTTTTCCTGGAAATGTGACCAGGCAGTAGCCGGTGGTCACAGGGACCCAGGCTCCAATGCCCTCTTGAGCTGTGAGTGGTCCCTGACCTTTATGCCACTCGAGGGGCACAGAATTTTCCAGTTTATAAGCATTTCGTCGGGGTGGAAGAGAGTCCAGTTTAGTTTGTATGCTCTTTAAAAAAAATCTAGATCATGGTGGAGTTGCATCTAGGTTCTCACGTTGGTCCCTTAAAGCAAAACTGGCATATGAGCAAAATTTCCCTTAAAATTCCCTTAGATTGCCCATAAATATATAGCACCCATAGCTTTGCGTAAATAATTCTTTGTGGCAAGGCGGACATAGGTACACACACAGCGAGGGGCAGAAAACACTGCACGTGTGCAAAGTGGCATCTGACAGAGTCTTGCCCTGTACGGAAGAGAAAGATGGCCCACCGAATGTGCAGAGCTAAAATCCAGTGAAATAACAAAGTTGGATTTCCAGTGTCTGTTAAAAAACAGCAAACAACAAAACAGAAACCAGAGAAGATGTGGTCTGGCTGGGGCCCACCGTCCGTGCGGCAGTAACTGGCCGAGGCCAGGAAGTGGCTTCTCCTTTAGACAGGGCAGGCGCGCCCCGGTTTTGCTCTGGGCCATGCCTGCCCCTGCATCCCTGACACTGCCCCTCTGGCCCCCGTGGCATCTGAGTTTGCGAGCCCTGGTGGAGAGCAGAGAGCCTTTCAAACTGAGAGATGAGGCCCCGGGGGTCATCGCGTCCGCATCATCCTACACAAACCCAACTCAGCCCTTTGTGGAGTTGCCTTGAGCCAAGAAAAGGTCAAAATTCTACTAAAACAATTGTACTGGCCAAGTGCCTGGCTATATTTTCGATGACCCCCAAGGCCCTTCCCTGGACCAGGAGTCAGTCGCCTGGAGGGTCCCTATAAATAAGTGAAGCTCTGTGTGGGCGCCCTTTCCACCCCGTCCAGCCCTGCCTGCCTCACCCTAGCTTATAAACTTGGCCCGTTTCAATGCTCCTCCACCTTCACCGCACCTGGCCTCACGCAGGGCAGGCCTGTGCCACTTCTGTACAGTGCACACAGACGCGTGACATGCTGAATATGGTTGAAAAGCCTCCCTGGGCCCCCTGAAGCCCTTCCATGGATCTGGGTTTAGAAATCTGTCCCAGAGGCACAATCACGAGCGTCCAGCTGTCCTGAGGCAGAAATCAGATCCTTCCTCAGTGTGCTACAGGCCCTCTGGTGGCATCTCACTTCCTTTATGCTGAGTTCCAGCTCTTAAAAGGCCACTAGGTGTGGCCCCACACCTCCCACCCACACCCTGGCCCTGCCGCCCTGGCTTCTTTCTGTTCTTCAAACACATTAAGCTCACTCCTGCCTTCGAGTCCCTGCCTCAGGCCCTTTGCACGTCATTCCTACAGACCTTTGCGTAGCGGACTCCATCTTGTTAATTAGGTGTCAGCTCACTGTCACCTCTTCAGAGAAGGATCCCCTGACCACATAATCTGAAGCTGCCCTCCCCCCATCCCAGTGCCTGCTTTGTTTCCATCCAAGCTCTTCTCACGGCCATGTGTATTTATTCAGAGCTCCACTTCGCCAATCTCCCCCAGGCCTAGCACAGTGCCTGGCACACACCAGGTCCTCAGTGAAAAAGCTGTGGATTGAGTGAATGCACCATAGTGACTATGGAACGCTGAGGAAGGGTCTTCATTTTTCTTGAGCCACAGTCCCCTAGAGAACTGGAGAAAGCGTGGACTTCTCTGCATTCCCGCTGTTTCAGAGGGTTGACAGCCCCTCTCCCCCCGAGTGACTCCTTGAGCCTTAGCTGAGAATCCCCGCTTTACCTGGAGCTGCTTGAGCGCTTTCTGGGCCTGCTCTGGCTTTCTGTATTCCACGAACCCAAACCCCAAGGACAGCATCACTCCTGGAAGAGAGAGGTAGGAATCACGCCGTGTGGCTGGCGGGGAGAAAAAGAAGAAGGGGCACGAGGCCAAGTGCAAGGGCTCTGCCGGGCCCCCGCCCTCCGCTTCCGGTCCTTTCTTCATACCCCTCTTCACTCTCAGAAAGACCTCGGCTCCCGGCTTGCCATTTATTACTAGTCATCTTGAAGAATCAGCCAAGGAGGTTATATAGCCACCACCTGAGGCCCAGCTGACTATTAATTAACAGATGATTGACATGATAATTAACTTCATAATAGAATTCCGCCTTTGGGAGGGAGAAGGAACTAACAGGGATGACCATGGCCATGACAAGCGGCAAAACCTCTACCTAGGCAGGCAGTCCCCTGCTCCCATACATAATGCATCAGATGAATATATGCATGAACGTCAAACGCACCCAAGGCTTTACTCTTTACAAGTATGTCTAACCAGCCAATTGCATTTGGTTCCCGGGTTTCAGACATAAAGTTGGGATCAGGGGGGCGATGGCATTATCCAAACCTATCTGGTTCCCTAGTTCTGGGTCACTCAGTAGCGGGAGTTCCCGACAGCAAGGGATGTCTCAAAAATTTAGCAGAAACCTTTTGCTTCCCGACTTCAGGTATATACATCTATACATACACAGACATACATATATTGTATGTACGATCTACATATGTTTAATTGGGGGCAGAGGAATTTTTACAAGGCACAAAAATAAGATCTGTAATTATTGGGTTGTTGGGAAAGTCATGATGCATTTTTGCAACAAAAAACAGAGAAAAAAATACGTCATGACTTTTCCGACAACCCAATGCATCGTCCTTTTCACACAAATCGCAATCGATGCCTACCCTCCGTCCTCCCCGCCCTAGCATTTCATACAGATTTACTAAGTTTCTTCTTCTTTTTTTTTTGTTTCCCCACAGTTGAACTCAGAGGATTGGCTCAAGTCTGATGGGTCCCAGCGAGGATCAAGATTTTGTACCTTTGACTCACGCAGTGTTCCCATCTTTGCATCTCCTGTATTGTTTGTGCGAACTGTGCACCCCTGCCATGGGAACCTGCCTGCTTGCAGTTCCACTCACAACCAGGAGTGATAAAACAAGGGCCCAGGGCAGGAAGAACCTCCGTGAACTGCCCAGAAGCAAGGCTGAGAGAGAACCGCTGGCTGATAGGCAGCGCCACCCAGTGGTGACTTTAAACATTTGTTCTTCAGCAGGTGTCTGAAAGCACCCCTTTGGAGATTCAAGGTTGTGGGTTAGTGGTGTCTGTGTATGCAGGATATTTAAAAAGTGCATTAAGATTGTGTGAAAGGCAGCTAGAGAAAGTCAAGTTCATCGCCCCATCACTAATGCTGTGCAGAAGCACCCCTTGCCCTTCTCCTGCCCTGGGGGGCTGACCGCCACAGAGCACACGCCCGCCCCGGGCGCCCTTGTTTCCTGTGGAGCTGAGCCAGCGGGAAGCCCTGATCTGACACTGGTGGGTGGAGAGAGACTGGGGCACTGTCCCTTCATGAGCCCTGCCATCTCCCTGTTTTGGCGCGGTTCTGGCAGCGCTGGTGTCCAAACCCACACCCTCAGCTCCCACTGGCGGCCCTTCCTCTGTGGTTCATCTCACCATTCCCGTCCCCACAGCCCTTTGGGCTTAGTGGGGGGAGGCATCCTCCTGCCTCAACATCCCCCGTCGGTCCCCTCAGCCCAGCCCACCCGTCCCTTCGTTACAACTGTCCTTTCAACAGCCCAGCGGAGTTCTTTGTTTCCACCGGTGACCACCCCCTAATACAGGCACTGTCTAGATTCCCCTCGAGCTGAGAAGGAGGAGCCCAGAGAACAGGGCTGTCAAACAGAGGCTCTTAAAAAAGAGAGTGCAGGTTACGAGAGCCACTCACGACACTAAAGAGCAGGTAACCGTTTCTACAGCGTGCTGACAGGGGCTCCTGAGGGTGACAGATGGCCTCCATGATGGCAGAGGGGGCACGGCGACCCTACGGCCTGCAGGGACAGCCCTGGAAGGAGCTGAGGACACCTCTGCCAGCCTGACTCACCTCCTGGACTGCAGGGGTCACCTCCTTTCCTGAACCTCCCACAAATGAAACTTCCTATCGTTAACTTGGTACTTAGCTGCCTTTCCTTGTATCCCAAACCAGGCGTGCGGTTCCTGGAGGACAAGGATGCGAGGGTTGGAATGGTGTCCCCCAAAATTCATGGGTTGGAATCCTAATCGTCAGTATCTCAGAATGGGACTTCATTTGGAGACAGGCTCTTCACAAAGGTAATCAAGTTAAAAATGAGGTCATGGGATGGCCGAGTGGCGCGCTGGTTAAGAGCTGGCTTGGGACGCCAGCTCCGAGCAGCAGGGCCCCGGTTCAGATCCCACATGAGGGCCAGTGACGCTGCACCCTCTACAGCTAAGATGGTGAACAACAGCTCGACCTGGAGCTGGGCTGCCTTGAGTCGCCGGCGATGGCGTAGGCTGCAGCCCCTGCTGCAGTGGGTTGTCATAAGCTACCGTGAGCAGCCGTCCAATGGCCGGCAACCCATCTGCCTCACCTGGGAAGAGCGCAATGATAATGCCAACATGGGCCAGTGAAGCGACGTCCTCCACAACTAGACTGAAGAACAAAAGGACAGCAACTTGTCTGTTCCCCTCCCCCAATTCCCCAGTAAAATCTTTAAAAAAAAATGAGGTCATTAGGTTGGCCCTAATCCAATATGATTCGTGTTCTTAAAAAAACAGAAGGGAGGCAGGGACCTGACCCCAGGACAGGTGTGTACCAGGAGACGGCCATCGGCAAGCCAAGCAAAGGGACCTGGAGCAGATCCTTCCGTCACGGCCCTCAGAAGGAACCTAGCCCGTGACACCCTGATTTTGGACCTCTAGCCTCCGGAACTGGGAGACAATCAGTTCCTGTTGTTTAAGCCACTCAGTCTGCGGTACTTCGTTAGGGCAGCCCTAGCAAACGGACCCAAGGAACTCCCTAGTCCCTGTGGTCTTGTTTAAAACCCTCCAGGCTCCCCGCTGCCTCTGGGAAAAAGCCCAAATTCCGCTTGGCACAAAAGACCCCTGTGATTTGGAACCGGCCTGTCTTCCTGGTGCATCTCCTGCCTCTTTTTCCCGACGCGCCAGCCCTCTCCTGCCGCCTTCCTCTGCACACCCCGCCCCGACCCTCCAAGCCTCGGGCTGGCGTGCAGCTGGGCTCCTGGTGCACCAGGGCCCCTCTCTACCAGCCCCTCTTCACACTGTGCTGCACCCACCCGCTCATTCGTCTCTGAGAACACAGTTCTGGGCGGGCTTGTGCAGCATCCTTACACATCCCACCCAACTGAAGGGACGGGGACTGCACAGCCACGAAAAAGCGAAGATATACGGCCTGTCCGTCATCTGTAGGAAGCCAGGGGCTGGAGAAGCGACAGAGGCCAAAGGACTCGGGATAACACGCAAAGTTGAAGGGAGACGTGAGGGTGGTTTCCGCACGGCCCAGACACCCATGGGCCAGGGAGGCGTGTGGCGAATGCCTCAGTGGAACGTTCCCGCTGTTCTACGCCTGGGTTAGGGAAAGCCGTCGGTGGGTCATTTCCTGCTATTCCCCAGGAAAGTTCCAGAGTGCGGAGGTTCTGGGAGCAGGAAGAGGCTTCTGCTGCTGAACAATGTCCACCCTGCCGGCACCCCGGACGGCCCTGCTCCAAAACCATCTCTGACAGTCCAAGGTGGCGAAGGGTCTATGTTTGGAGGAACCTGACGTGCATGGCTGCTCCTGTTGGAGATCGGGGGTCTCCAGGGGACACAGAAACAAGGACCATTCTACACAAGCCAAGTGAGAGAGCTTGATGGGGACAATACTTCCCAACAAAAGAGGACCTTTGAAATCAGCAAGTGAGAGCTAGCCTTACCCCTACCCAAAGCTACAGTTTCCCTCAGAACCATTTCGTTCGGACTGAGATTACCTGCTTTGTTCTTCTTCTTGGAAATAGAGCAGCTCTTCACCACTCCCGCTTTGGAAAAGACCTGGAAAGGAAAGACGGGTGTGTCATCAGCAGCTCCTGACTAATCCTGCCACCGAAACAGCACTCCTCAAAAGACGGGGCCGTCTGAGCCACCGCAGACACCGAGGGGCACTATTTCTAAGACTAACACGGTCTGTGGCTTTCACACACACCTCCTGAGACATCCTGACACGTCCCTAACGTGTATGTGGGTGCCTTGCCAGCTCCCCGGCCCGTCTGGCTACTGCTCGGGTCTCTGGGTGAGCTGTCGACTGGACAGCCCCACAGAGAGGTCAAGCGGACGCTTGGCAGTTGCTAGCCTGCATATTAACACGAGGCATGTTTACAGGCAGAATAAGAACAGTGACGACATGGACAGATGGGGTTCCCACCCCATACCCCGAGCCCAGCACTCACTCCCTTCAGCGTCTCCTCAGTCGTGTTGAAGTTGAGATTTTTAATAAACAGAGTACAGCCAGGGAGGCTATCTTCCTCTTCCTCCTCCTCCTCCTCCTCCTCCTCTTCCATCTTTGCTGAAGAGTCGTCTGCTCTTCCCGCTGTTGGCTTTTCATCTTGTGAGGTCTCACCGTCTGGCACTGGGTCCCCACCAAAAAAACAAACAAACATCCGTTAAATGATGTCTAATCTGCGTAAGTCCTGGAGCCTTAAGCACAGAACCGGCTAGATCAAGGGTTTTCTGTCTCTGAGTGGACACTGGCTCCGAGCCTGTGCTGGGTCTTAGCAACTCTGGCGGGAAAGGCAGGGCGAGGCTGGCCTGCCTCCTTCCCGTTTTAAAGAGAAAGGAATACGAAACACAGACCGAAAATGATGAGCCGGATGTTGGACTGACCAAACTAATTTGAACTTCAAAATAAACTGCTGTGTAAACTGTTTGATTGAACCACAAACCTCAGCAACCGATTATTTTTCCTCAAAAAGCACCCCTTAGTGAACTATCTAACTAGAATGTAACTTAGAAACCTTTCAAAAATTATAGAATGGGAGTAAAACTTAGAACATCCTAAATACCTGCTGCAACTAAGGGATGTCACAGATCAATTCAACTTCCCAATAGACAAAGCTTCAGGGTGCACATACAACAAAAAAAGAGTGTTTTTATCTATCCGTGATGTACTAAATTCAGAGTTATGCGTAACAGTGAAAAATGGAAAAAAGCATCAAATATTCACAAACAGATCAGAAAAATTATAATGCCACCAAAGGCTGGAATAATAGTCATTAAAAATGATGTTTCTGAAGAATGTTTAACAACATGGACAAGTTCATGGCAGTTCAAGTTGCTAAATAGGGAACGATGCTCTTAATAAAAAATTAGGAGACAAAGATATGAAACGATACACAACGTAACCCCCCATCATGTTCTATAAACACGAGAACAGAAACACACAAGGAGAGACGAGCAGAAGGCAATGCCTAGTGTGCTCCTGGTTATTTCTGCAGAGTGGGGTCACAAGGGCTGTTGTTTCATCCTGTCGCACCCCCCCCCCCCCCCCGCAGTGGACCCCTCCCACTCTGAAGGAACAGCATTTCAGAAAGAGGGAGGAGCAGGTGTGCAGTTGGGCGTTAGCAGGGTAGGTGCGGCTGGGGGAGGAGCTTGTCAGCCACGGTGATGCAAGTGTGGCTTTTGCCTGAGGGTGACAGGCGCCTCACAAGCTTGAGAACAGTGTCCTAACCTCTTGAGAGGCCCTGCAGCCAGGACACGTGTTCCATTTGGTTCGACCTCCCCAGTTTCCCCCCCAAATCACATGATCGGGGCCTGGGGACACATCCCCTCTCCCCATCCAAGCTTCTGAAGCTCTAACCACATGCCACAGGAAAGCAAACCCCGTCTCAGCGAAAGGCAGTCATCAGGCTGCGCCCTCACACCTCTCTCTCACCTGCGTGGTTCTGAGCAGGCGGTGCCGCCCCTCTCTGCAGATCCAAACCCTGCACACCCTGGCGGGGCAGCCCTGTGTCAGGCCCGGAGCCGAAAGACAACCCTGCTCTCCCACACACACCTGCACTCAAACAGTTCAAACTTCCGGGAGAACCAAGGGGGCTTCTTGGGGCTCTAATCTGTCCCCCCGACTCTCACGCCACGCACCAGAGCCTGTCCGTCTCCCCTGCCCTTTCTGATGCAAGTCCTAATTAAGCTTCTGCCGCATTGTCTTAAAACTACCCTTTTAAGCCCTAATGGAACCTGCTACGGTGATAATGTTGTCTATTGGACATCAGTGGAACAGGCAGCCTTCGCCCCCCTGGCGCCCTTGGAGGTGAACCGGAACTCAGACTCTCTCCAGGACAAAAAGGAGAAATCTACATCAAGGCTCGTCCCCCACCCACCCAAGAAACAAACACAATTTACCGACAAGAGGCTCCACGGGGTGGCCATTTGTACTCCACACTCAACTTTCAAAGCAAAGCAGGGCGGGCAAAGTATTACTAATGATGGGGAGGCAAAGCTATGCAAAGCAGCTGAGACTTCCGGTTCTGAAGGAGAACTTCAATGGAAATGAAAACCATGACCTTCAGCGGGAATGGCATTTCCACCCCACTGGCTCTCCTTGCAGCAGCCATCTTGGAGATGAAAGAGAAAGGAAGGGTGCTGATGAGACCCCACTGTGTGCCAGGCACGTGGCTCGATGCCTTCGGCGTGCCAGCTCGTGAATGATCACAGCGGCCATGTCACAAACGGGTGGCCCGACGGAAATTCTGGAGGCCGCTGTGTCTGAACCCTAGGTCTCAGGTCTCAGGTGTCTTCAGGCTGGGAGAGAGGTTCGTGGAAGAGTAGAAAAAACTTTTAAAGAGAAGCGAGTGGCGGGGATGAGGGGGACCAAGAGGGCTCGTGGCCGGTTTAAGGGGGCAGCCCCTTTCTTAACAGTGGCCAACTGCCGCCACGTAGGAAGGTCAACTCAGGGTGGTCAGATTTTCCAGTCTTTCAAGAGAAGCTGAAAACCCAGCTTTTCATAGGAAAACCCATCAGTTTTAAATGTTGGCAACTAAGTCAACGGCATGTGGCTTCTCATCAGGTCTCAGCTCAAATATCGTTTCCCTCAGAGCTCTTCCTGTCCACTCTAGTTCCAGGGGTGCCCAGGCCTGGCCACTCGCCATCACATTCCCGAGTCTCTCCTTTCGGAGCCCTTAACCTGTTCTGAAATCACCTGATTGGTTCACTTCTCTGTCTGTGTCCCCCACCTAGAAGGGGAGCGCCTTAAGCACGGGACCAGGTCTGCCTCGGTCACTACTGCGTCCTCAGCACCAGGCCCAGGGCAGATGCTCCAAAAATACTGTGGGAGAGGACTGGGTCCAGCACTCAGCATGTGCCTGGAACCCAGTCAGTGCTCCACAGATGGCACGAGTGTGACCAAGAGTTGCAGCTAGGAGCACGGACCTTGGCTGTCTCAGATGAGCGACCTTGCGTAAGTCACTCGACCTCTCTGTGCTCCCTTCTTTCCATCTGAAAAAGGAGACAACAATCATGGTGCCCACTTGCAGGGTGAGGATGCGAACAAACGCACAGAAGCCTGTGGGAACAGCGCCTGGGCCTGCAGTGGTCGTAAGTAGTCGTAAGTAGTTCCTGCCATCTTAACATCACCCCAGCTGCCCACGCTGCCCAGCCAGGCCTTGAGAAATCCAGGGGATAATGTCAGAAATCCTGACCCCTGCAGGTAGGACAGCCGGCTGAGGGAGCCTGCGGGGTGGGCTGCCCACTGCTGGCTTCTGAGGAGAACAGCCAGTGCCACGCCTGAGTCTGGGGACCGCGTCCCTCCGGCCACATCTCCCATCGGAGCTTCTGCTCCCTGAGCGGTCGGGCCAGGCCCTGCCGTGGTCCATGCCCGTGTCCAGAGAGGTCTGGAGATGGCCAAGAGCCACGGCATCGAAGCCAACGTCATTTTTAAAAGCACTTGGGGCTCCTTGGGCCCAAGCGGGGGAGACAATAGAAAGACCAGAAAGAAAAAATGAGGTATAGTGAAACTCAAACAGATGTTTACCAACGAAATCATTAGGAACTAGAGAAAGTAAGAAGGAAGCGGGACTGGGCCCGGGGCTGGGGTAGGGGGGCTGGGTTTAAAAATCACGGTGAGCTGCAGGCGGCTGGGAGAGTGCGCCCATCCCTCCATCCACTTCCATCCTAGTTAGCACAATACAATCCGGTCACGCATCACCACATGGGGCCTTATTATAATCAGGCCGCAGAATTTACCATGGCTCCCTCCCCTTTCCAGCTCTGGGCAGGAGGCTGACGGCAGAGACTGTTATCAGTTGCAAGCAGCTTTTCAGGACCTCCCCCCACTCGGGGCCCTTTATCTGGAGGTGAGGGTCTCAGCTGTGGGGAGATAAAACATACTGTCCCCCTCCCTCCGGACTGGCACAGGGAATGGGAGGCTTTGCAGAAAGGGGGGTGTGAACAGAAAGCCCCATCCACGCCCCTCCTGCTAGCCTGCCTTTGGAGGAGAAGCTCCCGGGCTTGGGGGCTGGCTGAGTCCCCCCGTGCGGCAGGGCTGGGGGGGCTGGGGAAGCTTCATAACAATGCGGAGGGGCCAGGCACGGGGGAGGAGCAGGTGAAACGGAACAGCACAGGGGACAGAGGGGACTATGTACGTGACAGCGTAAGAAAAGGAACAAAAAGGGCAAAAAGAGGCCCCGGAGATGAGCTCTGGGGGAGTTTACAAGGTGGGACTCGGCAGGGCTGGAAAGCGCAGACATGCACCACTTCCCACGCCCAAAGCGGACCTATCCTCCCAGCTCCAAGGCCTCCTCGTGTGAGTCACGGCAGGGCCCTGGACACCAGCCCCAAGAGGGAAGGCCAGTCGGGAACTGTGTCTGGGATGCTCTCAGCACCAGAACCAGGGCCCGGGGACCTGGGGACACAGGGCAGCACTCTGACTTCAGCCCCAGGACACTGTCTCTGCAAAGCCTCCCCTCGTGTGTGTGCTCCACAACATTTCTGTACCCAGGGCCCACTTCTGTTACCACTGTGACATCTCAGCTGTCCCCAAACAGCCTGGAGCCTGTGGGGAAGCGGAATGCCTCAGGCCCTTGTGGTCGCCCAGGCTCAGCTGCTGGCCTGGAGCCAGGAACCTAAGACCAGGGATCCCCAATGCCCTGTCCCGGCTGGGCCAGGCCTGAAGGCTGTACCGACCCCCAGGGAACTGACAGCTGCGGACAGCTAGGGAGGTCTGTGGACACAAGGGCTAGTCAATGAAGAGAGTGTTCTTTAATCTGAGAATTTTGCTCCCCACCCCCACATGTTTTTCCCTGTAAAACACCTTTTCTTTTATGAGGATGATGGAGATGGCAGTTGAGACTTTTTAAAATCCTTATTTTAATAAGCTGGTAGCCCTAAGTGGGTAGAGGGACGGGGGAGGGATATTATTGATGGCAACATCTTAATACTTGGGTAAAAGGACCACCAGAATCCTTTCCAAAGAGTTTCTAAAGGTCTTTGATTCTAAGATGCGGTCATGGTCCCCAGGGGGGCACTTGGGAACGCAGGGGAGTGGTTCAGATGGTCACAATCCCCGAGAGCACTCCTGACGTTTAGCAGGTGGGGTCCAGGGAAGCAAGATGTCTTTCAATTTGTAGTACAGTCTCAACAAGCAGGAGCTGTGCTGTCCCCAGGGCCAATGGCACCGCCTCCTCACCCAAGTGTGAAGCATTAGCTAGGAGGTGGGGCCGGGGAGCCCATTCCCTTTCCTGCCTTTGCAGCCATTGGGCAGTAGAGGGCGCTGTGCCTCTCCAAGGCCGCTCCAGAGTACCTATCGCCCGCACCAGCCACCCTAGCCCAGGTGGCATCCTGGTTGGATAGGTGGATGGTTGTTTTTCACTTGCTCTGCCCTGAATCCCTCATAAGAGATTCTAGTTTTACTTTCTTACAACCTTTAATTGAAAAGTCAACTACCTTATGTTGCACCCATAATTTTTACAGTTTTTTTAAAGGACATTTTCCATGCCTGTGAAATCCAAGAGTCTGAGACCCACGGGTCTCCAGGACGAATCAAGAGCTTTAAACCATGTACCTGACGACAGTTAGTGTGCCCCGCCCCACCGTCCCTCCCTCGCCTGCTGTCCCTGGACACCCTGATCTCATCCTCGCTCTCACCAGCTTCTGGCTCCGCCCTGTCGCTGTCCACAGGTTCCACTGGTGCGTCTTGCGGTTCTTTCTTCTGCGGGGCGGAGCTGGAGAAGACGCCCACTGGAGCCCACTCCAGGTACAGGGGGACGTGGTGAAACTGCAGAGACAGGGGCGGGGAGGGACTCAGTCCCTTACGCACATGAAGAGCCCGAGGCTCAGCGAGTATGGGCGACTCACCCCCGGAACGGAGCCAGGAGGACCAGCACAGCCCAGACCCCTCCATGCTGCCTGATCCCTGAGAGCAACATGGGGGCCCCTTGCTGCGGCTCGGGGCTCCGGGAGAGGCCTGGCATCTGTTGTCACGGATACATTTGTGTCCCCCTGTGTTTTCTCTGAGTAGGGATGGGGAGTGGAACGGACTGAGAGTACAGGTCTCCGGGCGGAGGTACAGTAGAGCCATCAGACACCATCTTTCTCTCCCCCCACAAAGACACTCAAGGCAATGCATGCACACGTGTGTGCGTACACAGTTTTGTTTTAAAGAAAAGGATACATAAGACACTGGTAAATAAATAGTCTGCAGGGCATTAAAATGTCTGATAGACAGAGGCTACTTGTAGTGAGTGGGTTGAAAGCTGGCCTCTCAAAAGACAGGTCCATGTCCTAACCCCCGGGGCCTGTGAATGGGACCTTATTTGGAAAACAGGTCTTTGCAAATGTCATTAAGTGAAGATCTTAAAATGAGATCATCCTATATGATCTGAGTGGGCCCTAAGTGCAATGACCAGTGTCCTTATAAGAGAAAGGAGATTTGAGACGGAGAAAAAGAGAAGGCACGTGAGACAGAGGCAGAGACTGGAGTGATGCAGCCACAAGCCAAGGGCCGCCTGGGCCACCAGAAGCTGCAGAGGCAGGAAGGGTCCTCCCCGGGAGCCCTCAGAGGGAGCACAGCCCTGCCCACACCTTGGTTCCAGACTGCTGGACCCCAGAACTGTGAGAGAGTCAGTTTCTGTTGTTTCAAGCCAATTAGTTTGTGGTAACTTCTTATGGCAGCCACAGGAAACTAACCCACTAATATTTGTGTGTGTGTGTGTGTGTTTTCTTTTTGCTCAGAAATAGGAGACGGCCACCTTCGGAACTGGCTGTCAGCTTACTGTAGGTACGGATACCAAAAGCACCGAGAATGATGATGGTTCACATGGTGCAAATTCACGTGGGAATAGAAAGCCAAGGATGCCCAGAGTCAGGCAAGCAGCCGAGGACCTGCTTCCTGGACGATGGTTTAGAGCTTCCCTCCCACATTCTCCCATTCAGGTGTTCTCAGGAGGGAAAAAATTCACAATCTTGACAGAGAAGGTGGTTTCAGACGGAGCTCCCCAGGGCCAGGGCTACGCTAAGAATGTCGGGTCCCGTCCTCCCCACCTGAAGCAGGCCTGGGGCAGCCCTACCTTGGAATAGGCCAGGTGTCTGAAGGCCTTGCGGGCCTCCAGGGGCTCCAGGAACTCCACGATGGCGGTGATGCCACCCTCAGGCAGCAGCACGCGGCCCAGGCTGCCGAAGCGGCCGAACGTCTCCTGCAGCTCGGCCGCCAGGGTGCCAGCCGGCAGGTTCTTCGCCAGGATCACGGTCTTGCTTCGCTCCGCGGCGGCCTGCAGGGAGGGTGAGCACACGTAGGACCACAGGAGGGAGGGAGGCCCCCGATGCCAGCGCTGATCTGTGGCTGGCTCCAGACCAGGTGCCCCTTTGGGACCTCAGTCACCAGGCATTTAGGAAGCGGGCCCAGGGGGTGCCACTGTCTCTGGCACGGGGCTCCGCGGAGTGGGTAAGGATGGGGGCTCCAGAGTGGACCCCCTGGGGCAAATCCCAACCCCTCTCTCCACTTCCGACAGTGCCCACCACAACCCTCACGGGACCTTCCAGAGCACTCCAGCCCAGGCGGGCACTGCCTCTCTGGAATTGCACCCTTGCCTGCCACACATGTGGCCGGCAGGAGAGGCGAGCAGTTACCGCCCCTGGGAGCAGCCCCGGCTCCCAGGAAATGGTGCATCACGTCTGAGGCAGGAGTTCTGCCCACCGCTGTACGCAGTCAAGACACCCTGCCCTGGCCTCCTGCCCTCCCGTCCTTTCTCACCAGTGTCTCCTGCCCGGCCCAATAAGCTCCCTGCTCTTGGTAAAAGAGCTTTGTCTGAGGCTGCTTTTGGAAGAACCCAACCCAAGACACTAGCTATACGGCCTGAGATATGTACTGAACTCTGTGCCTCAGTCCCTCACCTAACATAGGGACACAGCACCTGTGTCATAGGACCACTCCAAAACAGGATTTAATCAATTGGGTTAATACAGGCAATGTACATATAGCATTATAAATGTTAGCAATTATTTTCTTAAAAAAACATGTTGGAGGGCCAGCCGAGTGGCGCGATGGTTAAGAACTGGATGGGGACACCAGAGGGCCCTGGTTCGGATCCCACATATGAGGGCCAGTGACACTGCCCTCCACAGCTAAGATGCTGAACAACAGCTCAACCTGGAGC